ACTTTGAACAAGTAATCAAAACATTATATACCTAGAAGCCTTTCATATAATATATGATTAATCTCAAATTGATTCAAATTGCATACTAATTGAATATCCAGTTATTTGTAGGTTTTAAATGTTTAATATTTGTTTAGATAAACGAATAGGGAATAAATTCTTTCCAAGAAATGTTTCTTTTTTCTGTTTTACCGAGACAAGAGCAACTGGATTAGAGGCTGCAATTGGAGAAACAATTTAACATATACCTGAAATAAACTATAAGGAATGCTAACTCAACCGAAGGCAGTTGATGACGGAGAAAATGAGGTTGAATACTTTTGTCAATGCGTGTTGATTTGGAATGTGAAAATTAAGTATGCAGAATACTAAGCTCATAGCCCCATACCAATTTAACAATCCAGAGTTTCGTCTTTTTTGATCAAACCTGCCCAAAACATAAAAATTGAGAAGAATTTCTGTCTCCAATATACAAACAAACTCAGTAAGTTTAATGCTACTTGAGTTATTTCTTTTTTTAAAAAAATAATTGCTTCTACTTTTTCAGACTTCTTAGCCTACCCAAAGTTGTATTTACCTTTCTTTTTCTTTAACATAATTTAGTTTACCTCCTCGTGGCTAAAACCAAAGCAAATAAGCAACAACTTAAGAAAGGATCAAATGTACGTAGTAGAGAAGTAACACTACACAGCATGGGTTGCTACAACATACGGTATCAACTAAAAGTTACCTCCTGTCATTGAAACAAGTAAAATATATACTACTATATTCATTCTCCTGGTAAGCAATCAAAGACTTCATATAATTAAGGATCACAAATTAATCTAGGAAGAGAATCCTGATCCACCAAATACAGCAAATATGGTAAGGCACAAAGCCTTATGAGTCTATATATAACTAGTATGCAACCTTTTTCATGGTCAGTGTGTGTGAGCCTGAAGAGGGAAGAGTGCAAACTGATTCTTATCCAACGCAATCCCATATCATCAAGAGCATTAAAAAAAATGTTGATCACAACGTTATGCAAAAGAAGGAAGAATATAAAACATGGCCAACTCAATTCAATATTATAAAACGATAAATAAAAAGAGCAGATTAAAAACATCAAACACATCAACAATCACTTCTAAAATTTTCTCCTCTCAATTATTTTTGCTTTGAGACTGCAACTTCCGATCAAAATAGTATGCTAATAATAACAAAAAAAAAGAGTTACAACTACCCGGCCACTCACATAACCTGAAACAGTGAACTATGTTTACGCCACTGCAGTAATGCTCTCACCCTCCACAATCTCCTTCTCCAACTCCTTCACAGATCTAATCAAACCCCTCGTGATGCCCTTGAGATGCAAACCATTCTCTTTCATTTCCTCAAGTAGCTTTTCCGCCGTTTCCCAATCCAAAGCCTTCAAGCAGAGAGACTGTATCAACTTCTCATACTCATCCACATTGGGGCGAACGCCATAATTTTTCATCTCTGAGAATAAATTCAAAGCCTCATCAAACCGTTCCAACTTGCAATATCCACGAATCAGGGTGTGAAACATTACGGGGCCCAACTTAACATGCTTCTCTTTCGCTTCTGCCAAGATTTTCCGAGCCTCTTCCATCTCCCCACCATTTGAATAACCACTAGCAAGAGAAGTATAAGTGTACACATCCGGTCGCAAACCCCTACTTTCCATCAGCTTCATGGTCTCCACAGCTTTCCCAATTTCACCAGCCTTTGAATAAGCTGTGACAATGAAATTGAAAATATCATTCCCAGGCGGCGGCCCATCCTTAATCATCTTCACCAATAACTCCTTGGCTTTATCAACTTCCTTAATCCTACACAATGCCCGAACAACCGCCATAAACGGCTTTATTGCACGCTCCCTGTTCTCCTCAGGGATATCCTCCAACATATCCAAAGCCCATTTCACAGTTTCATCTTCTCCACAGAGNATCAAACACATCAACAATCACTTCTAAAATTTTCTCCTCTCAATTATTTTTGCTTTGAGACTGCAACTTCCGATCAAAATAGTATGCTAATAATAACAAAAAAAAAGAGTTACAACTACCCGGCCACTCACATAACCTGAAACAGTGAACTATGTTTACGCCACTGCAGTAATGCTCTCACCCTCCACAATCTCCTTCTCCAACTCCTTCACAGATCTAATCAAACCCCTCGTGATGCCCTTGAGATGCAAACCATTCTCTTTCATTTCCTCAAGTAGCTTTTCCGCCGTTTCCCAATCCAAAGCCTTCAAGCAGAGAGACTGTATCAACTTCTCATACTCATCCACATTGGGGCGAACGCCATAATTTTTCATCTCTGAGAATAAATTCAAAGCCTCATCAAACCGTTCCAACTTGCAATATCCACGAATCAGGGTGTGAAACATTACGGGGCCCAACTTAACATGCTTCTCTTTCGCTTCTGCCAAGATTTTCCGAGCCTCTTCCATCTCCCCACCATTTGAATAACCACTAGCAAGAGAAGTATAAGTGTACACATCCGGTCGCAAACCCCTACTTTCCATCAGCTTCATGGTCTCCACAGCTTTCCCAATTTCACCAGCCTTTGAATAAGCTGTGACAATGAAATTGAAAATATCATTCCCAGGCGGCGGCCCATCCTTAATCATCTTCACCAATAACTCCTTGGCTTTATCAACTTCCTTAATCCTACACAATGCCCGAACAACCGCCATAAACGGCTTTATTGCACGCTCCCTGTTCTCCTCAGGGATATCCTCCAACATATCCAAAGCCCATTTCACAGTTTCATCTTCTCCACAGAGCTTGCCAGCCAAAAAGCTAACCGTACTCATCGGTGGCCGTTTCCCTTTCTCCATTGCCACCACATACACTCCATGGGCCTCCTTAGCCTTCTTGCCCTTACACAACCAAGACAAAATGACACCAACTTTCTCGCCATCAGGCAACGCCTGTGCATCAACCATCTTCTCACAAACCCCACAAGCCCAATCATAAGCACGCCGCCGACAAAGCGCCTCGATTGTGATGTAATACGTGTCTGCATCCGGCACACACTGAAAGGCCTCAAATTTATCAAACACCTCCAATGCAGCTTTCCCTTTCACCAACCTCGAGAAGCAAAGTATCAAATCGTTGAGAATCCTCACATTGAGGATTCCACTCTCCTTCTCTCCAATCTCCTTAACCAAATCCCACAGCGAGTACGCCTCTTTCTTCCTCACATCATTTCCACATATTGCCAAAACAAGAGACTCCACCATTGGGGTGGTCACCTCCAATGATCTCTCACTCCATGCCCATCTGAAAAACCTTATCAGATTCTCACCCAAAACAAGCGGATTTTCGATTACTTTTGTCACCAATTGCTGATGCAGAGTCAAATCCATGTCATTCAAACACGACCCAAAGGACCCATCAGCACTCGTTTGAAGAAGACGTAGCACACTCTCCAACTTGTCCACGTCAATCTCGTACGTGTCTCCTTCTACATAAGTGTCTTCTTCTACATAAGTGTCTCCTTCGTCTACGCGCTGTCTGTCACCGCCGTTTTCTGAAGAATCCGGTGAGAGCTGTGGGAGCTCATCATCGACGGTGAGCGTGGAATCGGTGGCGAAAAATCGAGGGTTGTTGAGAATTTGAGGGAAACTTGATTTGGGGATTTTGAAAAAGATAGGGTTAGAGATGCGTTGGTGAATTGATGAGCAGTTGCGAGCACCAGCTACGGAACGTGTTGCTCGTGCAAGTATCCGCGTCCACATTCTTCTTCTGGAGAATGTGTTAATGTGATGCTTTCTTCCACTGTCTTCTTCCTCGTCTTCACAGAAGATTAAACCTAAAATTATGAACTTCCATGTGTCTTTACACTATTACGACGCCGTTTTGAACCACTTCGCCTATTTCTTCTAAAAGCCCTTGTTCCTGCGGCCATTTGTACAATTCTTTTTTTAAAATGGTAAATGTCAAGAATTTTGAGGATCCGATTAAAATATTTTAAATTTTAAATAAACATTTAATATTGCTAAATACTTATTTAATAAATAATAACTTATAACTGTTTAACATATAATGTATATTAAAAATTAATAAAAAAGTGTAAAAATTGAATAATTCTAACATATATTAAAAAAATATATGTATCATCATGTATGTAATGGACGAACTATTGTATCACTTTATGCATTCTTGTTAACTAAATAATTTAAAGGAAAGAAAACGAACCGTCGTATTGCACTCCAAAAGTAATAATATATATATATATAACATATAACAAAGCCCAAAAAATGTTTTACCGTTTGATAAAAATAATAACTATTTTTTGTGAATATAAAATTAATAAATGTATCAATAGTTAGTTGTTCTTACCAAACATAAATTACCAGTTATTGATTTAAGTGGTAACCAGATTTGATATCTTATTCAAGTTTTAAGATTTAAGTATTTATATGAAAAATATATGATTGAAGGATTATATCTCATTAAAGGTAATGAGTTGTGTTATCTAGTAAATGTTGATAGTCGGTGAAATGAAATTTATTTTATTTTAATAATTAAGATAAAAATAGTTGCATTTAAACTTTTAATTAATTTAATATATGTACCATAAAATTTATATTGTTAGTTTTTACAAAAAAAAATAATTTAAAAATCACTCATTTATTGAATTTGATATTTAAAAAAAAAGAGACAAACACTATACTTGTTATTGGAGTGATTAATTTGACCCAATTTTTTTTATTTAAAATATTAGCCTAGTGTTGCTAATATAGCATCACAATGAAAGCAGAATGTGTTGTATGTAAGCATCACGAGTTAGGGTTCATTTGGAATGGGCTGCTTCTTCCTGCACTCCCCTTTTTTCTTCCAGCAGCCCCTCCTTTACAAAATACAACAAAAGAGCATAGAGGAAGGTTGCGAGTGTTATTAGTCCATTAAGCGTTACTTTTTTATTAAGGGTAAAATTTGCATTTCCCTACTCGAATGAAGTTGCAGGTGAAAAACAGGGGGTGCAGGAAGAATTTGTCATATAACGTGGTTGTTCAAGTTTAAAATATTTTCAAATTAGATTCTTTCAAGGAATTAACCATATGTTTTATTTTTCTGAGTTATTGCTTTCTGTTCTTCCTTATCTCTTTCTGTCACTGTTCCTTTGCTTGTGACTTTTTCTCTTACATTTTCTACCTCTCAACTTTTCTTCATTTACATTTTAATATATCACATTGCATTTTGATAAGGGAACGCTTCCCTATAAGAAAACTTATCTTATTATTTATTTAGTATTTGAGAAAAAATACCCATGAATTTTTTTTCTACTCTTTTATATCCATATATTTCTGAATATTTTTGTATTTTATTTTTTAATAAATTTATGTAAATGTTTTTTAAAAAATTTAAAATATAAATTTAGTTTAAAATATTAATTTTTAAGTATAACTTCAATCAAATTACTTAATAAAATAATAATATAAAAATTTTATTCTTTTAATTGTAAATTTAAATAAATTGTGTAAGGATATAATATTTTAAAAAAATAATCTTTTATAAATAAATTTAATTTTATAAGTCTAAATAAAAATAAAAATATATGAAATAAACTTATATAATTAATATTTTTTATTGATAATTTTATTTT